GAAACTATTAAATTGAGACCCCTGATGATTCCTACTACCTGGAAACTATCCTGTTAAGGAATTCTTCTCAATATTTCTAAGTATATTGATGGTTCTGGGTAAGACTGGTATGGGGTGGGGAACAGAGCTTATCTTTAAGATGTCCATAGTACAATGACAGGATTTGCTTTACAATAATGCAGTAATAAAGGGAGATGGAGACTCAGAGAAGGTGGCAGTACAGCCAAAGCAAGAGTCAAGACTTGTTGAGGATGAGTGATGGGTATATGGGAGTTCATTGATGTTTGAAAAATTCAAAACCATGGCAAATCACCTGGAAAATACCTCTTTAAAGTGTCAAAAGATCAAGGTGTCACTTTGGAAACTAAGGTGTACGTGGTCCGAGCCATGGGATTTTCAATCACCTCATCTGCATAGGAAAGCTGGACAATGAATACGGAAGATTAAAGAGCTGGTGCCTTTGGATAGTGGTGTTGATGAAGAATAGTAAATATCCCGTGGGCGCCAGAATAATGAACAATTCTGTCTTGGGAGAAGGACAGCCAGAGTGATCCTGAGAAGTCAGTCACTTACTCTCATGGACTGCGGACATGGAATTTCTCAGAATCACTAGCAAAAGGGCCTCTATGAATTTGTTGAAAAATAATAGCCCTGATTAAACTATGGAACTGTATAATGTGTGGAGTATGTGCCAATAAAACTGTTTTAAAAAATAAGAAAAGAAAAAAGATTCTGTATTGGACTGCTAGCTGCAAGGTCAGCAGTTAGAGACCACCAGCTGCTGTGCAGGAGAAAGACAAGTCTTTCTACCCTTGTAAAGAGTTACAGTCTTGGAAACCCACATGGGCAGTTCTACCCTGTTCTACGGGGTTGATAAACAGTGGAATCAGCAGAGTTGAGTTGTTTAACTCCTTAGAAACAAGCATAAAAACATAAGTTCTAAAAAACAAAGACACCTGTACAATCGTACATGAAAAATTCTAACAAACCTGCTACAGCTCAAAGTAAGTCATAAGGCTTCCAGGGAGTTCAGATGAAGAAACCATGAGACATACAAGGAGGGTCAAAAGGCTCATGAAAAACAGAGTTAGGATAACAGAATTTTTGCATGAACTTTTCAAGCTCCCTCAGGTAATTAAATACGAAACACTGAGAAAAACTAGAATTTGTAGGGTATAATAAATGTGTGTAAACACATACATATTTTTAGTTCCATGTGATATATATATATATATATATATATACAATATATAGGTATATATGTATAAATACATAGATACATACCCCAAATTATCACTTTTCTAAGAATACAGCCCCCTTCCCCCTAGGGGGAGGAACAACAGAAACTGTAGGGGAAGGGAGACAACGGTCGGTGTAAGATGAAGATAATAATAATTTATAATTTACCAATGGGTCCCGAGGTGAGTGGGGGTACGGATGGGGGGAGAAGGGGCTGATGCCAAGGACTCAAACAGAAAGTAAATGTTTAGAAAATAAAGATGGCGACATACGTACAAATATGCTTGATTCAATTGATGTATGGATTGTTAGAAGCTGTAAGAGGCCCCTACCACTGTGTCCACGTCATCTCTAGGGTCCGAGCCCGTGTATCAGAGTGTAACTGCTCCAAAGCATGGTTAGCAGCTAGTGCTTTGGAAGTAGATCAACTCAAACCACTAATTCCACTAACCAATTACACCATCCAGGAGCTTCCCACTGTAGGGAAAGGAGTTGTGCTTTCAAACAGTTAATTAAAGCACCTTTTAAGAGTTTTATTAAAACAATGATGTTCGCTCTCCCCTTGATCCTCAGTTACACAGCTTGATTAATTAACTGAAAACATCAGCTACATAAAAGACAACCCAAAGAATTGGAATCAATCAATGCATGAAGCATAACTTAGCCTAAGCCTGGTGCCTGAATCTCCCAAAACTGAGTCAGTCATTGCAGTCTCACTGTACATTGCTGCTCTACCACTGCCGGATGTCTACGAAATCAAGTCCATCACCACCGCCCAGATCAACACATATTCCAATTATGCCAGCCCGGTTTCTAGTCCAGGCCATCTCTCATCTACAAGCAGACAGGGCAATTGAAGGAGCTGATAACACAAACTGAACTTTATTCCCCTCTTAAATATGAAGAGGTTCCACTCCATCGTTGAGAGAAGAGATAAAAAATAGAAATGCAGAACAATCCAACAAAATCTTTATGAGAAAGACCCAGCCACACACCGATGAAAATCAAAAAAGCTGCTTACTCTACTTACAGGTCATAAAACCCAGCGACGTTTATGAAAAAAAGACTACAAGGCATATCAATCAACAGCAGCCCCACAGATGCAATACCTGTTTTCCAGAATCTGTGTCCAAAGAAACAGATGAAGAGACCAAGCAGGGCAAACAGAGTAAAGAACACTTTGGTAGAAATACTTCCTACAAATAAAGAACATTATTATTAGTAAATAGCACACATAATTGTATGTCTTATATTTAATTAATAGACAAAAGCTTCATGAAAAAAGTAAACATTAAAAAAAGTAAACATGATTTATTCCATATATATAAACTAATTTTTAAATATCCTTTCTACAGTTATGAATATTCATTATATCTAGGCAATGACTATCAATGGCTACTGCTGGAACAAAAAGAAAACACCAAAAAAATACATGCTTCCTCAGAAAGGTATACCATATTCTCCCCTGCCACAGAGCCGATTCCGACTGGAGCGCCCCTGTGGGGCAGAGGAGAAGTGCCCTGTGGGTTACCAAAGCTACAAGTCTTTATGGGAGCACAAAGCCTCATGCTTTTTCTGGTGGATTCAAACTGCTGCCCTTACAGTTGTAGCCCAATGTATATGCCACTACACCATCAGGGCTCCTTTACACAATATAACCTAGGATATATTCTTGTATAAAGAGGGTAGGGGAAGAAAGAGGAAACAAGCTGCTTAAGTCATAATGTTTCTTCAACACACTGACCAAA